AGGTAAACAGGGTGGCAGACAGGAAAACTTGAAGGCAAGGAGGCAGACAAGCAGAAAATCTGGAAGACAAGCACAATGGAAGGAAATTTAGAAGGCAGGGAAGCAGACGCAAGCAGGGGATCTGAAAGGCAGGCAAACACATAAAAAAAAAGAAGAGAGAGAGAGAGAAAAAAAAGACGGAAAGAAAAACATATTTGCCGAGCGTGAGATCCCGAAGGTCGACGCCGCCGTCCCGACCCCATCCTTTCCCTTTCAAGCATCCTTGGCCATGACTTCCAGGCGCCTGAGGCTGCGTGAGGCATTTCCTCTCCCTCCTCCTGCATCGCCCCCGCCCCTCCCTCCCCACCTTCCCTCTCCCACCCCCCCTCCATCTTCCCTCTCCACCTCCTCCCCCTCTCTCTTCCCCCGCGTTACTTGCTTAGCATCTCGGCATCAAAAGGAGGAGGAGGAGAAGAAGAGTGGGAGGAGGAAGAAGAGAGGGGGAGAGGGGAAGGAAGAAGGAGAAGAAGGAAGAGGGGAGGAGGAGGAGGAGGAGGGAGGAGGAGGAGGGAGGAGGAGAAAGGAGAAGAAGAAGAAGAAGAAGAAGAAGAAGAAGAAGAAGAAGAAGAAGAAGAAAAAGAAGAAGAAGAAGAAGAAGAAGAAAGGAGGAGAAAGAAAGAAGAAGAAAGGGAAGAAGAAGAAAGAAGAAGGAAGAAGAATAGAAAGAAAGAAGAAAAGTCAAGGAACGCAGGGGAAATACCACAGCAACATGGAAAAGACCAACATGCGCGAGGGTATAAACACCGCCTCACCGGGAATGTCGACCAAGGTCGGGTTTCCAATAGATTGCGTGGGAGGAATGGATCCTAATAGACTGGCAGACCCCTCCACCCTCCTTCTTCGCTTCCTCCCCTTTCTTCCCCCCTTTTTCCCCACTTCTCCCTTCTCCCTCTCCCCCCCCCCCCCCTCCCCCCCTTCTCCTCTCTTCTCCTCTCCTTCCCCTTCTTCCCATTCTCCCCCCTCCCCCTTCTCTCTCTCTCCTTCCTCCTTCTTCCCATTCTCCCTCTCCCCCTCCTCCTTCTCTCCTTCCTCTTTCTTCCAATTCTCCCCCCTTCTCTCTTTCTCTCCTTCCCCTTCCTCCCATTCTCCCCTCCCCTTCTCCTCCTTTCCTCCCATTCTCCCCCTCCCCTTCTCCTCTTTCCCATTCCCTCTCTCCCTTTTTCCTCTCTTCTCCCCCCCTTCCTCACCTCCCCCCTTCCTTGCCTGTCCTCCCCTCCTTTCGTGTGCTTGGCCCGGGCAGCCCTTCAGTGGTGGACCGTCCGGCTACCGTCCCTCAAGGTCACCCCCCCCCCCAACGCCTCCGTGCCCTCCGGCGTCCAGGGAAGGTCACTCACACCTCGTCGGCGTCAGGACTTCCAGCCTGGCTCCCCAAGGTCGATTTTCCTCTGCGGCGATGTCGTCTCTAAAAAGGGGGAATGCAGAGAGGAGGGAATGCGGTTCCTAAGGGTTGTTCTCTGACCAAAGGCGGTTGTTAGATAGTTTGTCCATTTACGCTTTTTGTTCATTTATGCTTTTTGTTCTTATAGTAATCGTCGGTATCTTCGTGACTCTGTCGGTGCTCATGTTATTGATGGAGGTTTAAATAGACAAAACATGTAGTAAGTGCATTGTGGGACGTGGTCTGGGAACCCCTCAGGGCGCGGATGCCTTTTGTATTTTGTTTAACGTTATTCCGCGCTGCCTTCGCCACTCCTGCCGGCGTCTGCATCCACGTCACGAGGTCAGGACGTCACGACGCAAATATTGACGCGACACGTCAGCCACCAACGCCACGTGTCGATCCTAGAGCCCCGATATAGCGGCATCGTGGGGTCAGCAGCTTTCGACGTGGACCCCGATGTAATGAGGGTACAGTTGGGTCAGCAGGTGTCATCCCGGACCCCGATACAGGGGTCAGCAGGTGTTAAGCTGGACCCCGATACCATGGCACCGCGGGGTCAACAGTTGTCGAATCGGACCCCGATACAGCAGCACCTTGGAGTCAGCAGATGTCAGCAGGGTGCCACTGATATGGGGATAATAGAGAAGACATCAGTAGGAAAAGATAATTACCACTGGATTAGGATAAATGATAATGGAGATTGGTACGGGGCGGAGGGGGGTGGGGGATGAGGGGGCATGTAAGAGTGAACTTGTACCTGAGCAGGAAAGGTCAGGTAGAAATGGTCATTAGTCCCGTTAATTACCTTGATTGAGGGAGGATGGACGCAATTAAGCGGGGTGGAGATAAGGGGGAAGGGGAAAAGTTAACATTTTTGTGTGTGTGTGAGAGAGAGAGAGAGAGAGAGAGAGAGAGAAGAGAGAGAGAGAGAGAAGAGGAGAGAGAGAGAGAGAGAGAGAGAGAGAGAGAGAGAGAGAGGGAAAAAATCAGCAGGCAGGCAGGCAGACAGATTGATATATAAATAGACTGACAGACAGACAGAACTGAGAGAGAGAGAGCGAGCGAACTTGGGTGACTGACTGACGGCCTAACTTAAAGTGAAAATAATATCATAGGGAAGAAAAGAAAAAAAAATGAGCAGGAAAAGAAAAAAACGAAAAAGGGAGAAGGAGAAAGGTAACGAGAGTTTTCTCCGCATTTGTCTTCTAATCTTGCTCTCGCAACATTGCAGACGAAAAGTTAGCCCAAAAACTGACACCGTCTGTCTCAAGTCGCCGCGACAGGTGTTGACGTTCAAGCCTGGTGTGAACCGGCTGTTTAGTTGGTCGTGTTTCATGTCAGTTTCATGTGTCGGGCCTGTATCATGGAGGTGCAGGATGCTTGGGATACATAGCGATACATTTTCCCCTTTTCATTCGCTCCTTCCTGTGATCTCCATGTATCATGTAGGTGCAGGATGCCTGAGATACATAGCGATACATTTTTTCCCTTTTCCTTCGCTCCTTCCAGTTATTTCCATGTATCATGTAGGTGTAGGATGATTGAGATACATAGCGATACATTTTTTCCCTTTTCCTTCGCTCCTTCCAGTTATTTCCATGTATCATGTAGGTGCAGGATGATTGAGATACATAGCGATACATTTTTCCCTTTTCCCTCACTCCTTCCACTGATTTCCAAACAGCACCCACGACCTTTTTGGAAGCGGTGCGAATTCCCAGCATACCTTCAGAGCCATGGCCGGTGCGTGTGTGTTTGTTTGTCTCGAGGTATTATTGCAGGGTAGGAAGAGGTTCCCATGGTGTCACTCGTCAAGGTGTTGTCGTCATCCTCGCCTGGGTGACTCATGATCAATTTGGTGGCTGATGGGTATGAGCTCGCTTAACGTGTCGGGGCGTCCTCGTCTTTCTCACGCGAACCTCACAATCCTCGTCTGAAAATCGAGAGTTAAATAAGATGAAGAAAATAGATATTGGGAATCTGGGTGACTCATTGATCAATTTGATGAGTATGAGCTCACTTAACACGTCGAAATACCCTCTTCTTTCTCATGTAAGCCGCAAAACCCTTGTCTGAAAATGGAAAGGAAAATGAGAATTAAAAAAAAAAAAATAAAATAAAACGATAACGGAAATCTTGTTCAGGTAATGGGGGATTCGGTTTAGGTAATGGAAGTTTCCTTTTTGGTTGTGTGAGAATGTGAGGTCGTGGAAGAGGTGTGGTGCGGGGTGTAACACCTGATGTCTGTAGGTGTGGCTGTGCTGCCGAAGATGAGCAGGCGGCAAAACTACAGGTGTGTGGTGATGAAAACGGTGGAGGGCAGTCCTGGTGGGGGGAGGGAGGGAGGGAGGGGGATGGAGGTAGACGGACGGACAGACAGAGTACGTATATATAGCGTATATGTATATATGTGTGCGTATATGTATATGTGTGCATATGTGTGCATATATGTGTGCGTATATGTATATATATATGTATATATATGTATATATATTATGTGTGCGTATATGTATATATGTGTGCGTATATGTATATATGTGTGCGTATATGTATATATATGTGTGCGTATATATGTATTGTATATGTATATGTGTGCGTATATGTATATGTGTGCGTATATGTATATAAATATATGTGTGCGTGTGTGCGCGCGAGCTTATACGTGCATGCGTGCGTGGGTTTGTGCGAGTTTCTGTGTCTGTATGTGCCTGCATGTGTATGCCTATGTGTATATGCGCATGTTTTTTCACCTGTTAAGTCTGTTTCCGATTACGATGTAAATAGCAAAACCACAAACTAAATAAAGAATGTTTTTTCCACTGGACTTATTTCCCAACAGGAAAGCTCCATCCAAACCGTTAAATCTATTGAGTTTCCTAACACCTGCTAGAGAATAGAGATTCAGCACCTGTTCAAGATTCCACACGTGTTCCATTGTCATCTCAACCTTGGCTATTTTTCAGTTGTTTTGTTCACTCTATTATGGTTGATTTTCTGCTTCCGTTTTTTATGGTTAAGCTTGGCTTTCGTTATAAAACAACATGAATATTTTTTTTGTTTTATAGTTTGTCTTGAATGACTGTGTGTGTGTGTGTGTGTGTGTGTGTGTGTGTGTGTGTGTGTGTGTGTGTGTGTGTGTGTGTGTTGTGTGTGTGTGTGTGTGTGTGTGTGTTGTGTGTGTGTGTGTGTGTGTGCGCACGCATGTATGTATGTGTTTATATGTATGTGTGTGGTGTGTGTGTTTGTGTGTGTGTATATATGTATGCATGCATGTATGTATGTATGTATGTATTTTGTATGTGTGTGTGTGTGTGTGAGTGTGTGTGTGTGTGTGTGTGTGTGTGTGTGTGTGTGTGTGTGTGTGTGTGTGTGTGTGTGTGTGTGTGTGTGTGTGTGTGTGTGTTTATGCATATGGTTTGTATTTTCATGTGCACTGTGCATGCATGTATTTATGTAATAGAAAGAGAATATCATTGAAATTTGTTAAACACAGAAATTTATTATTTTACTGATTGGGTAAGAGTAAGTATAGAAAATTGCCATATAGTTTGCATTTCATTAGAGAAACTTGTATTTCCAGGGTCGTGCAGCTGATCTGAAATTTGTTGAGGCGTGCGCAAGAAAAATTGCCGAAGTAGCAGAGGGACACAAGATCGTCGTGGAAAAGTCGACTGTACCAGTTCGTGCAGCAGAATCCATCTCCCATATTCTCAGTGCCAATACAAGGCCAGATGTTTCATTCCAGGTGGGTCATTTTCACTCTATTTAATGCACTGATGCTGGAGGTCGAAAAGGTATATGTCCACTGTGATTTTATTTGATTAATTGTGTTTAAACAAAGATGACTCCGCAGGTATTTAGTCACCAAATAGTCAATTAATTGTTGTACCTATCTCACCAGTTTATCTTTTTCCTTGATTTTCAGAAAAATTTATTTATTGATTTATTTTCTTAGCTATTAGCATTATTAATAACATTACAATAATCATAATGGCAATGATGATAACAGCAGCATAGATATTTATATCTTTAGAAAGAAAGTTTACCCCAAAACTCAAGGAGGTCCTGTTAGGTCATGTGAGCCTACTAATTGACTCCTTGGTGGCTGAGCACTTGTGGAACCCTATATGTGCACACAAAATTTACCAAACAAAGCTATAGTGGATATTACATGTAGCCGGCAGCATTTTCAATACATTATTAGTCCAAAGGAATTGAAATAAAAGCAAGAACAGATAGGGAAATGCTGGACTGAGTGTATGCCTGTACTCTAGAAGTCTGACTATGTATCATATAGTGAGAATGCAGTATGTAATATATGATAATATTTATTTCCAGGTATTGTCCAATCCAGAATTCTTAGCAGAGGGGACAGCTGTTACAAACCTTCTGTACCCTGATCGTGTGCTCATTGGCGGAGAGGAATCTGCTGGGGGAGATGAAGCTGTTGCGGAACTGATGTGGATATACACACACTGGGTTCCGAAGGAGAAGATTGTCACCACCAGCACTTGGTCATCGGAACTTTCGAAATTGGTATGTTGTTAGGTGCAGGAGTATTTGGATGTTGGACTGTGCAAGATAGTGAGATAGGTATAAGGAAATAGTGAGTGAGGAGATGGGATGAAGGGATAGGAGATGGGAGATGAAAAAAGGAAAAGAAATAGTGAATGAGGAGATGGGATGTAGAGATAGGAGATGGGAGATGAATAAGAGAGAGGATATGCATAAAGAGATAGAGATGGACGGGAGATAGAAGATGAAGAGGAGACAGAGGGTAAACAGAAGATAGGTGATAGATAGGAGATAAGAGACAAATAGAAGATGAGGGATTGATTTGGATAGGGAGGGAAGGAGGGAGGAAGAGATGGAAGAAGAGAGAAAGAGAGAGGAGTGGTGTAGGAAAGAAGGGAGGGAGTATTGAAAAAACAATAAGCATATGAAGAGGTCTGGTTCAAGTAATGGTATATAAACAATAATGAAAGTTTCTACTATACCTTTGATGGAACCCAAAAAACCTGGAGACCATCACTATTTTAATCCATCTCATGTTAGTTGTAACTCAATTACCCGATTATTATAAATACAATATCATTATTAAAGTGCTGTCTTCCTGTAGCAGTGTGTTGTAGGTTTGCTTTGTTATGCATCTTGTTTAAAAAGAAATAACATATTTATTGTAGGTGGGAGAATGGATAGTTTTTTTATTAGTTTAAAAATGTCAACTTTTCTTATGCTAAATCTATCTTCTGTAGCTTCTTCTGAAAGACAAAGATATGCATCAAACTACAAGTTTTATTCTTTTATAGGCATCAAATGCATTCCTGGCTCAGCGTGTATCCAGCATCAATGCCATCTCGGCGGTATGTGAAGCAACGGGTGCTGATGTATCCCAAGTAGCTGCAGCTGTGGGTCTAGATTCTCGAATTGGACCCAACTTTCTTCAGGCATCTGTTGGTAAGTTCTTCTCCTTCTGATGTATATATATGAATAATACTGCTGTACGTAATAAGAAATTTGTTCTTTTTATGAAATGAAAATAAGGAAGTATGCCGGATGGATATGTAGATAACTTGATTTTTCAGTATGGAGAACACTATTTTTTTCTTTGATTATCTGCTTGTATCATATTCTCTTAATTAGCAAAAAAATACAGATCTCCTTGTTGCTGATCCTAAAGTAACATGTTATTTTTCAAACAGGATTTGGAGGTAGCTGTTTCCAGAAGGATTTGCTGAATCTTGTGTATATTGCTGAGTGCCTTAACCTACCAGAAGTGGCTATGTACTGGCAGCAGGTCACAGATATGAATGAATATCAAAGAACTAGGTAAGTTGTATGAATGTTTAAGAAACAGGTGGTAGAAAGTATATGTATGTGTATGTAAATTGTGAAAATATATAGAGTGGGTTATGTAGGTGGATAGATAGAGAGATATAGTATATATACACATGGTTTTAGCTTTAGGATTGTTACAGAAATGTATTTGCTGAGGTATATCACTGGTGAAGGTAATAGTAAGTGATGATTTATGATATCTATTTTTGCATTACAGATTTGCCAAGAGAATTGTAGAATGTCTATTTAACACAGTGACGGATAAAACACTGGCTGTATTTGGGTTTGCCTTCAAGAAAAACACAGGCGACACGAGAGAGAGTCCAGCCATTTATGTCTGTTCCCACCTGCTAGAAGAAGGGGCCAGACTTAACATTTATGATCCTAAGGTGAACTTATCTCATTGGAAGTGTTGATAGGATTTTGAAATGTGTTATTTTTACATGATAGACATGTTTATGAAATTGTATATAAGTGTATATACTCTGCACTCCTATGTACACCTTTGTGAGTGTGGATATATATGTGTACTTTATCTATATACTTGTACTATGTATCTCTTACATTATACTTTTCTTTTAGGTTGAGCCAAAACAAATTGAACATGACTTAACAAGCTCAAGTGTAACAGATGACCCAGAACGTGTGCAGACGCTCTTCAGTACCTACTCTGACCCATATGAAGCTGCTAAAGATGCCCATGCTATTGTTGTTCTTACTGATTGGGATGAATTTAAGGTTTGTTGAAAGGGCATATATTTCAGTCTCTGGAAATATATGTTTTTGTTTGATATCCTCCTAGATAACCAATTTGAATTGTTTGACTTTTTGAATATATGTGTTAAGATCCATTTGAATGTTTGAATATATATGCTGTGATGTATGCATAAAGCTAATATACAAAGTATTGCACACTTTATTAGATTTATGGGTAGCTCTTTTTTTGGCGGTATTGCACTGTTGTGATGGTTCTTGGCACGACTCTGTTGAGTTGTTGACATTTTGCATGATGAGAGCTTATATTTTAGATTTTGTTGCATGATTGTGTGTGTGTGTGTGTGATGTTGTGTTGTGTGTGTGGGTGGATGTGTGTGTGTGTGTGTGTGTGTGTGTTGTGTGTGTGTGTTGTGTGTGTGTGTGTGTGTGTGTGTGTGTGTGTGTGTGTGTGTGTGTGTGTGTGTGTGTGTGTGTGTGTGTTGTGTGTTGTGTGTGTGTGTGTGTTTTGACATATGCACATATCACTGATTTCTTTATTTTATATGTTTATAAAAGATGTGGGCTTGAGTTCTGATAGATGATTTCTTACTTTCCAGAATTTTGACTACAAGAAGATGTTGGACTCAATGAAACGACCAGCATTCATCTTTGACGGACGTAAAATGTTGGACCACTCTGCCTTGATCAAACTGGGCTTCCACACTGAAACAGTCGGAAAGAGATTTGCCCGCAATGCTCTTCTGAGAGCTTCTGGTGGGGATCTATAGATTAGTGGTGTTTTTGATCATGGCAGTAATCCTACTGTGCCTTAAAAAATCTATTTTTCTTTCTTTGACAGTGATGCTCTCATTTGATTATCTATATGATATTCAGATCATATTTATTTATGCTGTAAATCTCGTACTGCAACTTTTTTATATGATTAGTAGTTGTAGTTGTATTTATATAGTCCTGCATGTTTGAAAGTGTTTTGTTTGATTGCTTGAAAGTTTTGTAGATTTTTTAGTAATGCACATGCATGTTTTTCTGTGAATACTAATGACCTGTAAAAGCACATGTATTTAGTATTTATTTGGAAGATTCATACAGGCATATGGATGACTTCAGTATGCCATACTGACTTCAACATTTGTAGAAAAGATGGTTCGTTTGTATGATTAAAAGTGGGGTTACGATAGAGGTCTTCTTCCTGCATAAATCTTCACCAATTTTAGTCGTATGAATATGTGGTGGACAGAGACGTGAGACTTAATCTTTTAAAGTTAATTTGCAATACCTAGAGCCAATAGATGCTTTTAAACTTAATTGCCTTCAAAACTTCACAAGGTAATTAGAGGTATTTAAGAAAGGGTACTCTCAATTTTTATTACCCACAGATGACTTTCTTTTTACGTACAAGTCAATGTTCCAAGGATTCTAAACAATTACCAGATATACTTCAGACTTTGATAGAAATCTAGAAGGAATTATTTCTGATCGTTTTCGAATACAGACATTGGGTTTCAGATAAATTTATTTTGAAAAATATCATGGTATTATGAATTTGTTTCCAACTGGACAGAATAAACATCACAATGCACATCCTCAGGGTGATATATATGACAACATGCAGATAATACTCTGTAAAACTAATTGTGAAATGAATGGATTATTATATGACCATCATATCGGAAACTTCCTGTACAAGGGAGACTAGTGTACTTGGTACTTCAGGTGTATAATTTTCATCATCATCTTTTACTATTGACTGCAATGCCATCTTTAGTTTCTTATTGCCACATATTTTCAGTACAATATCATTACCACAAGCAGGAACATGATTTAGAACATGTACTTTACCAAAGTACTGAAACAGTCTATATAACACGTGTTTCTTGGTCACATCTAATATTTCAACATAAACCTTGTTGAGTTCTGCAGTTGAAATTGCATCTACTTTGTTGCATTTTATGTAACATATATGAGTCATTGATTGAAACTTTTATGTAATTTTTGGAAACTGATTACAGCAATCTACATAGTACTTACCATCCTGCACAGTTAGAGTAGTAGCAACTGTTTGCGGGCGTATAAAACTAATCATTGTGTCTTTGATCACCTATATTCAGCAAAGTGTCCATGAAGATTTTATTATGACTTTCTTTGCTACAAACTTTCTACTTGGGCCATCATTTGGGTGTTTTGGGTCCTTTAGCAAACTGTCTTCAGTGTAAGGGAAATCATCTCGGCTGAAACAAGGCATGAGAGAATGCTTCTTCACATGTGGAGGGTCATGATGCTATTCTTCTCCTGGATGGGACATGTCTTGATTTGGATGTGTATGTGCAGAAGGGTCTCTTTTGATACCATATAAATTAAGAGTGACCATCACTGATTTCTTGTGCTTCTGTGCAGAGGCAGTAAATCTTTGCTTATACCAGCATCTCTTCTTTTGCTCCATGCCATTATTTTCTTATGGGCATATTCTTTGCAGTTAATCAAATCTTTCACTTTCTTGTTACATGACAAATAGATGGTTCTATGTTGAAGCAATTGTCACTAGTTTAAATACAGCTGTGCTGAAAGTGCCTTTATATCATAAATGTTCCATATCAAATGCTTTGTCATGCACATAGAAATACCATTTTTCTTATTGAAAAACAAACAAGCAAATGAAGTTACATTATTTTTACTGCACTAGTTCTGCACTTGCCCTTAGCCATGACTTTGTGTACTTAACTGTAAAGACATGGTAGTATGCAATGCAGCAGTGATTGTGACCTCAATAAAGTAAACTAATTAGTAAGTCATTACCAATGGCTATGGCAAGTACAGAATTTTATAGTAAATCTTTGCCTGATCTAGGCCAATTTTCTTAGTCATTGAATAGTCCACATGTCCTGTCTCTGATACAGTCTGATAATCTGTAGTATCTTGGGTGTCTTGTTCGATGGAGGGAGCCAGTGCTGCTTAAATAGGGGTGCTCCATTGTGAATTTGTTTGACCCAGCCTGTACCTTTTGGATCATTTTTCTGTGATACATAGTCTGTATTTGCAGTACACATTTGATATTTTTTACAAGTTTTTATCTCTATAACATAAACTAGATACCTCAACAAGCTCATTTGTGTTGTATTTCAGAAGGTATGACATATCTTACTTCACTTTGGCCGTCTGGGCTCATCTTGGGTATCTCAAATTGCCCATGGTAGTTTTGAAGGAAACTAAGGTTATAGTCATCCTTAGGCTCTGAATATCTTATATCAGCCATTAAGCCTTATGTTTCTCTATATTTACGAGTACCTGTACTTTGCTATTGGGCTATATAAGGCTATTCATTTGTAGTTTCGTTTTAATATTTACCATGACATTCTTTCCAGATTTCAATTAATTTGCCTAGTATATTGTTGAAGGAAAGGATAACTGTGGGGGGGGGGTATGGGTGTGAATTTAATGTTTTTAAAGGAATTTGTGATTCATGGGATATTTTGGGACCATTTTTTCTTTTCTTGTAGAAATATCACCTACATATTTTAACTACTTCATTTTCATTCATTACCATTTTATGATTAATACCAAAATGTAAAAAGATCACACTATGGAATCATAAAGCCTCATTTTTCATCCTTGTCATTTGTTTTCAACATATACCATATCATTACCCTTCTTTATTTGGCTTGCAGGCATTTTCTTCTTGATAGCTGGATCTTTTGTGTTCTTGTAGTGCATGCTTGTTGAATTAAAATCTTTAAATGTGTTTATTATTAGCCTGGAATATTTAGTAGCTAGAAAATGAGCATGCTGAGGGGGATGAACTTGCCTTTTCTTAGTGGTGATATGTAGGATCTAAGTACCATGGAGATTTACAGTGTTCTCGGAGCATCATGGATTAAGGATGGATGAGTTTTATCACTGCAGTTTATCTTGTTACATCTACGTGCTGGGCATTATTTTATTTTGCTATATTCATTGAATTCTTTAGCTGTCATTTTAAAGTTTGTATAGATTTGCATCTGTGTTAATGTTGTATATTGTTTTTGTTTGTGTGAAAAGTTTTATGTAAGAATTATATGTCATCAGTGTAAAATGTTTAGGTAGCTAAATAGGTTAGCTATTCAGTAGTTTTGAGTTGCTTGAAACAAGGGCTTCTGCTGTTTTTAATTGGATTTGCAATATTTAGAATGGGAATTACAGAGCAAAAGTAGCATTGTTCTATGATAGGTGCTAGTGTTATTTATTTGTTTTGTATATTTTGTTTGTTTGTTATTGTTGTTGTTAGAGTAATGTGAAGGCATAATATATCATTCGACAGATCAAAACTCATGTGGTGAAAATTTGGTGCTTTGTAGCCAGAAGGGGTGGATTTTAATAGGAGAGATGATAAGACTGAATAATTCAGTTAGTGTGATGGACACAAATAAAGAATGAGAAGAAAGAAAGGAGGGACTGGTTGCCTGTTTATGATTTCATTTTCCTATTTGGATATTCAGTTGGGAAACTAGCTTGAAAATTTTTCTAAATTTATTTTAGAATTCCTCTAAAAATGATGAATGGTGATGCAATTTATACTATTACTATGATTAATAAAATGAAGTTGAAATAAGGATTGTAAATAGCAGCATGCATTCTCCAGATATTGCACTGAGCAGTCAATTTGAGACGGAACTTGGTGTCGTCTTTCCCCGCAAACCTGAACTCCCATTCTCCTGCCTGACTGAACCAGTACAACATACAAAAAACATCACAGCACTCGAGAGATCTTTTCGCATTACACGTTTACCTGGAATTTTTAGCTCACAAAGACATTATAGCACTGAGTGATCTTTTTGCATAACAGATTGCCATTCAGAACAATTTTTAAGAGCTACAGGAGGACACATGTGATTAATTTCTTTAGCATGTGAAAATAAAAGGATAGAAGAGAGTGTTTATTTTTGTTTGTTTGTTTTTTTTGTTCTATTGCCTTAGATAGAACTATTTTGTTCAAAAGGAAGCACACTCGTTATATCAGAAACTGTTGTAATGCCTTTGCTTACTTTTATACCTTAGCTTAATTTTGTATGCTTTAATGTTATGTCACCTATTAGGCAATATGAATTAGTGTAACCTCAGAAATGCTTAAGATTGGTTTGTGTGTTTCACCCAAGGAGCTATATATATATATATATATATATATATATATATATATAATACATATATATATATATATATATATATATACATAATATATATTATATATATAATATATATATATATATATATATATATATATATATATATACATATATATATATATATATATATATATATATATATATATATATATATATATATATATATATATATTATAATATATATATATAATATATATATATATATATATATATATATATATATATATATATATATATATATATATATATATATATATATATATATATATATATATATATATATATATACATATATATATATATAATATATATATATATATATATATATATATATATATATATATATATATATATATATATATATATATATATATATATATATATATATAATATAATATATATATATATATTATATATATATATATATATATATATATATATATATATATATATATATATATATATATATATATATATATATATATATATATATATATATATATATATATTATATATATATATATATATATATATATATATATAATATATATATATATATATATATATATATATATATATATATATATATATATATGTATA